AGGAAGGAGGAACCGTCCGTGAAAGTATTTTCCGCTTTGTCGCGCGTCTCGTCGCACCGGCTGAGAAGCTACGAGCTACGTTGGGGGTGTGTTACGAGCGTGTAACGTATCGCGAGGTAAATAAGTCGACGCCTCGACGATGCCCGTCGGAACGAAAGTCGACGAACACCGGGAGATTCCTTTTGAGAACTAAACTTTCGTCGTCGGATCGCAATTTCGAGGAACCGACGAACTTCGACGACCCGAGTTTTCCTCGCCAGAATACGCGCACTCGATAACCTCGAGTTCTCGCCTGTCCAACGCCCAGCGCGTCACCCAGCGCGAAAATCGTTGCTGGAATTTTAACGAGTATTAATATAATTTCCGGGCGGTGTAATTAAGCGCGGCCCGTGACACGAGTCTGACGCGTTTCACGACGAGGGCAGAACGAAAAGCGAGAACAAGGGAGCGAACGGGCAGACAACGAGACCGAGAGATCGCAATGAAACGTAACGGAGACGCCGGTCGTAGACGGAACGCGACGCTTGGGGGGAGCTGGGGGGAGTGCGTCGGACGCGACGAGGTCCAGAAGACCACCTGCGGCTGGTGATTGTGTTTTTTCTGGGACATTTCATTTTTCCAGATTCAAGAATTTTCGCGAGAGCTTTTTCATTGTTTTTCGAGAGGGGATTGGGGAATTCTGTTGAATGAAATGGTAATTTTATTCTTGGCTGAGTACGAGTTACGAACGGTATTTTTATGCTATGGTATTCAACGAAAGACCCGAATATAGAGAGGAATGTCGTGTGTATTAGGTGGGTCAAAAATCATTCTGGTATGTATCAAAATAATTGTTGTACATTATCATACGTCATACGGGTATCGCTGTTTTCCATTAATTTCCAATCTGAATGTTCTATATTTACTCAATGTTGCATTTGCCTTTGATTCAATAGCAAATCGAAATATTTCAAAAGATGTAATATTTGTTTAAATTGCGATAGAAATAGCTACGAACGAAACGCAGGTAGGTTTAGCGCGAACAGACCAATGCAGTCTGTACATAGTCCGCCTATACTACTGCACAGTGATGTCCGACATCACCGTCATGACGGAAACTTCTCCATGTTGTCAACATATTTTTACAAATACCAAGGAAGTTTCTCCAATTTCTCCGTAGAAATTTCTCTCGAGGATGCTTCGTAATCAGAACGCTGTTAAAATCGCTGCCGGGTCCAAGAGCTCAGAGTTTTATCCGACTTGGATTAACGGGAGTTAGTGGAAATGCTATTTAGAGAGGAAGGTGTCTATGGCGTGGCTACAGTATAGACGTAGTAATCGCACTCGATAATTCCCGAGCTCGATCGGCAGCTGCCGCGATGGACAACGAGTTGAGAGTCCGGACGCGTCGACAGGAAGGAGCGGTGCTCGACGCACGTCGAGAGGAAGCGATGGTAACGCGACGAGATTTGCTTATTCGATCGGTAGCTTTCTACCGGACGGAAGCGCGAGCTACGTCGCTTGTCGCGTACGTTATCGAGCGCAGCAGCGACGTTCCACGATGGACAGTTACTCCTCGTTAACGCCCTTCCCGCCTCCATCGGCTTCGTACCGCTCGGCGACAACGCGCTCGGGATTCCGTCTGTCACGGAGAAGATTAATTATCGAAACGCTATCCAATTCGCGTCGATCGAATTCTCGAGTGCGGCGAACCACTGCGGATCTTCGCGACGTTCTTTTATCGGTACACGCGATATTTGCTATCTCCGATCGAACGTTTGTCTAAAGAACATAGAATCTATAAAAAGAATCTGTATATTCTTGCGATTATACCCTTAATTGTTAATATTCGATTGGAGTTCATGATGCGGGTAGTCTCGAGCGTTACTGTTTAGTACAGGTGCGGCCATGAGGGATCAAGAATGCAATTAATTTGAACAAGGAGCATTATAAAAACGACAAAGTTGGTATGCCACGTGTAATGCCTCGGGCGATGATTAATATTAAATTATTTGAACGTGCAAACGCTGTGAATGAGGCCGTTAGTAATATTTTATTAACAAAATGAAAATGTTAAGAACATAGCGATCATAAATAATCAGTAGGTATGGAGCGGGAGTTTAGGCATGCTCGATTCTATTCACGTAGTAATTCAGTCTGTACGAACCGCAAGAATTTCCATTGAACTTTTTCGAGCACACTAATGTATTCCATTCGGTGGGATGATTAAATTACGTTTACAGAATTGAACAAAAAAAATATTATTTCTAAACAGACGATTTGAGATGGAATGGAAAAGATAAAACAGAGTGCTTCAAAATATAGCATCATTAGAAAATTAAACGATAACATAACGATATCAAGCAGGAAGTGATGAAACTGTGACGAATCATGTCAATTAAAGCATCAAATAGCGCAGCTATGTTACGTGTGAAAAATTGTAATCGGGTATTATAAACTTACCCGTTATCGTTGAGAGATAATAGCCCATCAATATGGAGAGATTCGAGCGGCAAATAAGCAGGACTTTGAGCAGGTCTCGATCTGAAAATAAAATTGAAGAAGATATCAACGCGATTATAGAGCTTATTATAAGTATTACGTTGTCGTTTCAATCCCAGGTCAAGGAGAACGTGATCGGTGCTGGGCGGTCTCTTCGTCTGACCAAAGTACGGGTCGCGGTTACTTCTACTTCCGACTCGAGCCTACACTCTACGTAATATACAGTTTCGTGAAATGATATGCGTTTCATTGAATGATTTGTATGTATACACATTCGTTTGAAGCAATGCATTTATCACCTTAACATATTCGCGACCGGCTGATATTTTACGTTTCTAATACCGAGTACTTACGAAAATAATAAAATTCTGAAGCTGGACATCGCAATTTTGTATCGTCAGGGCGAACATAAAAATTTAATATGTACATGTATATCGTAAAATATGTTTGGAAATATCAGTGTTATAAATATGTGGTGTATAAAATAAAAAGATTTTCATAATTTCTTCAAATCCAAGAACAGAATTCATTTCAATATATTTCGTAGGAAGATCGTAAATACTTACGAGTTGATTTTAAATTTATAAGTGTCCTACCCTGTGAAATTTACGAATGATCATATCAGATTACCATCAGATTTTCCATCTAATTTTGCATGCAGTAAATTTCATCAGCTCTTTGATATATAATATTATAACAAAAAATACGAAAGGCTGGGAACGAACCGTGGACCGTGGGGTAAGGTTACCAAACGCGTATTCGGCCATTCGAATAGGACTGTGGCTGGTCAAACGGACGATCGGCGACCAGGAGGAAATTCGATGGCGGTATAGATTTTCAGTGAAGTCCAGCGTATCGAATCGAACGCTGGTACGCGATTCGCGGATCCAGCGAGGCGTGAAAGCTCGACTCGATGTTTCGGTATTTAGCGTCTCACGGATGGTTGTGCCCGGGCGTCGACAACCGAGTAACGAGAGGCGATTCAATAATTTCAATATTTTTTAACCCGGTCGGACGATTTTATTCATTTGTTCGCGGAATCACGCTTTTATGAAAAATACGAGGAGGAACTCGCGACGATTTGTATGCTCGTAAGTCCTTCCTCCCTGACACGATCGCGTAAGTGGTTCGGAGAGGAGCATGCGCGAGAGAGAGATGCGAGATTCTTTTTGTATTTCGGTCATACGACAGTTCCGTGACACGGAATCCTGTTCCAGGGGAAGGAGAAAGAAGTCGGGAGAGAACGCGTTGAAAACTTTGTTCCAGGAGCCGGCTCGAAGGCGCATCGAAGGCGCCCTTTGTCGAAGGAACTCGCTTCTACTATCATCTCGACTCGTCCTTCAGTCGCCTCTCTCTTTCATGAAAGATTTTCGTGCAGCGTCTCTTTTTCGTATCGACGATCCATTTTTCCCTTCTTCCTTCCCTGAGTCGAATCGTCGAGTCGTATTCTTTGCCACGAACAATGAACGACCAAGGATGATGGGACACTATGAATACCGTTTTATTGCAAAGAATGGTTGAAACGAAATTTATATTTGAGTTTTGTACATTCCCCTGACATACCATACAAATATCTTTTATGCCATGTAATGAACACTATGTGAAAGTACCTATGGAAGTTGAAATTTTGTTTTTCATTATATCGCCGATTCGCGAAATTTTTCCGACGAAAATGAGTCCAGACTCATTTGACCTCGTTCGGAATATTTTTAATTATACGTTATTCGAATTGCTTCTGAAATACTTCTGCCTATGTGTAATTAAAACTACCTCGAACGAGACTGTGTTTGGACTCATTTTCGTCGGTAGAACCGCATCGACCATCAGTAATACTCTCACGGAAATGTTGAAATTTATATTTTCAGTAATGGATAAAATTCGATGTACGATAACGATCGCTGACGTTTGCGAATAAATGAAATCAATGGCGGGAATGACGCAGGCGCTCTGAGAGGAATTTTATCAGAGATCGCTTTGTTTGGGCATCTTCATTAGTAATATTTTATCCATTCGTAATACTGTTATTTTTTGTCACTATTAGACTATTACATCAAATGAGATATACAGTCAGCCCCATAAATATTCGTAGCCTCTATATCTGTTGAAGAAATTTGTTTAAATTAAATGGCAGGTTTGATGTTTCCAAGTGTATGTATGAATAAATATGTTGATGTATATATAAATATATACATCTATAAACTTATATACATATTTATAATGAAAAATTAATTTGGTAAAATCGAAACTATTATTAATTTAATCACACTTCTTCGATAGACACAGAGGGTACGAATATTTATGGGATTTACTGTACAAAGCAAAACTAGAGTATACTTTCCCAAAAATAAGTAAACGACTACTGGCTAATCCTACAATAATGCCTCCGAATAAAAAAGCCTGCGTTGCCTTGCGAGGAACGTGAACACTAGTCCTTCTAGACCTCGTTCGGGGTTGAAATTGATTGCATGCGAGCGAGGAATATTGAATCTCGAGTATCGGATGCCCGTTGTCTGTCGCAGGTGCTTCTGTTTCCGGAGGAGGGCTGGGCAAGAAGCGCGAGTAGTTCCTACTGGACCTTGACGCCGTTCTGGTGGAGTCGAAGTCGGTGCAAGGTCGTCGAAGTGGCTGGGACCAGGAGGTAAGTCCCCGAAATTACTTCTTCTCTCGATTGGCCGGTGTCTGATTCGCGTCTTCCGACGAATCGAAGGGTTTTACCGATTGTACCGCGGGACTCGACGCGACGATAACGTTGTTGCAGCGTTAACGGGGTCAGCCGTTGAGAACGCGGCCGATGCACACGTACGCTGTCATGACGTTTTGCCATAATCGTATTCCTCGCGCGGACGGAAATTCGTGCTTTTAGGATACGTGGCCGGAATGTCTACACCCTGCTTGCCGCGCCACTAGTCGAGAATTGCAGGGACGGTGCGTTTGAAATTTCAGTATCCTCTTATTTCCCTCTCGCAGACCATTCCCACGAGTTCTCGCGTCGTTCTCGATATACAGTCGCGAACAATTCATTGGCTCCAATAGGGAATAGCGTATTTACGAATACGTACGAATAGTGTACGAATACATTCTATAGTGATGTTATTCCATTTCATCAAATTTCCCGTAGTAGATTCCACAGTGATGAGAAAATTTTCCGTAGTAGATTCCGCAGCGATGAGCAAATTTTCCATAGTAGATTCCATAGTGATGAGCAAATTTTATGAAACTTTCCAAACTGGACGAAACACAATAATTGGTTGTCGAGAAAATGGATCATTTGTTGACTAATTAATGCAGAATTTAAGTAATCTAGCAAGATTCAACGCTCTGTATCTCAATAGATGAAAGTGATTATAATGATGACATCGGTGATCAATCGCTCCTCTCTTTTTTTAAATTAATTAATTGTCGGATTCGCATTCCTCCTATCCTTCCACTATGTAAATTCAACGCAGGTGCTTCTGCTATATGCTTTTATTTAAACTCCTACTTTTAGAACTGGCCTTTCCAAAGTTGATTCAATAATTCGTTGTACAGAGTGGACTTTTCCTGGAGCTCGTTGAGCTCGTTCAAGCACTCTGTTTTCCACCGCTATCCTAGGTAATTAGCCTAATTAATTTATTTGCACGTACAATTTTCCTCTATTTACGCCCCGCATTTTTCGTTATTTCCTCCCTTCTTTGTCATCGTTTCGGGTCCCTGATGTTTACCAGCACCGATATTATATATTCTATCGTTGCCGTCTCGTGGCCGACGAATAAAGGGAATAAATAAGCAAGTTTCCCGATATCTCATTGGTTGAGTTTCGCCACGCAGCCAGGACTCCCTCGAGGTCCATTACGACCCGGCTGTACAGCGAGTCGACGGAACTTATTTGACTCGACCGAGCACGACGGTATCGTCGTTACGTGGGTCGTCAATTGCAGCTTATCCCTTAACTCGCGTGCGATCTTGCCGCGGGACGCGTCGTACGATCCGCTCCCTTATCGGCGCGGAGTGCGTCGCCTTGCTTTCCACGATAAACTCCGTGGTAAGATCAAGAAAGGGAGGATAAGGCACCTCGGATCTGCATTTATCGCCCGGTCTCTCGGTAAACTAGGACTCGGCGATTTTCTAGCAAAACGACCATGGACGGTTGCAGTTAAACCGTCTGCCAACCTGCCAGTCCGATAAGCTTCGCGATTTACAGCGATCCCTTCGATTCTGGCTTTCCTCCGGAACGCGCTCTTATCCATTCCGCTCTCATCCTGCTGCTTTGCTTAATTTTTCTTCCTTGGATTTGGCGCAGGGAATGATAGGAGCTCGCGAAATGGAAGACTATCGTATTAGCAGATAGAATTCTGGGATAGGCAAAAGTGAAAAGCTGGACAGTTTTCCGATCGGCGCGATCACGATCTTGAATTTCCTACGTTATTGTCTCCCGGATGAAATTTAATAGCCGTTCGGTCGATTTCCATTTGAACCATTGCGATCCTCTCGCCCATGAATACAAAGGAACGCTTACTATGAATCGTTATACGTGTTCGTGAATCGATTACTTCTCATGTAACAAATCTATTTCTATAGTGACAACCCGAAAGATACTACAATTCCGTAATCGTAGCTCGATCAACAGCATTAGGGGTGATACCCTATCGCAAAGAGTATCCCTATCAAGAGAGGCATACAGTCACTCCCATAAATATTCGTACCTCCAATGTCTGTTGAAGAAATTTCTTCAACCCCTTATGAAGTCTCTTATGCACGTTTATACGACGTGTCTGACTCGTGTATTTCATGTTCGACTGGAATTCCTTATTACGTGTCTCACACGTTGTTATAGGCTAAAGGGTTAAATTAAGTGGCAAGTTTGATGTTTCCAAGTGTAAATACATGAATGTATATACGATGTGTTTGTGATAATACATATATGGATGTATAAGCTTATTCATATACATAGTTATAACGAACAATTCATTCGGTAATATCAAAACTATTATTTAATTTAGTCAAACTTCTTCAACAGACATAGAAGGGAACGAATATTTATGAGATTGGCTGTAAGAACGAAGAGTGTTGGTATCGTAAGCGTTAACAAAAAGTTCAGCAAAGATGGAAAAGTTTGGGAAAAAGTCGAGATTGCCGATGCTTACGAAACTAGTTTATCGGGATGGATGGAAATGGTCTTCCGGTCGGCCACGCGAGACGATCGTTCGCGACGCTCGAAGAACTCGCATCGCGAGCTCGGTCGGCCGAAGTTGCAGACGGGCTTTTCTAAATATTCCCCGTCGGGTAATTTTGTCCTGGGCCGCGGGCGACGAGACCGCGTTAGTTAAGGCAAACAAGCCGCTCCACGATCCTCGATTCGGACTCATCTCAACTTCGGACGACGACGATGTAAATACGTCTGTCTTTGCGTAGCTCGGACACCGCTCACGCGTAACGCCGGTCAAAGTTCGCGATTCGACGTCAGATTTGGAAGCAGCCTTCGGTTCGACTTCGCCTTTATCCGTTGTCCAATTACTTCTTCGTCCTTAATTGTCCTCTCATCGCTACAACCGCGCGGGCTCTTTAAATCTACTCTGCTTTTAAATGTTTTACCAGTCTTTCATCCACCCTCTATTCATGTCGTCCTGTTTAGTTCTTTTTGCTCTGCATTTAATTATTTGCGCATCTTTTTTATTTAATGGGACACCCACATCGGTGTACACGTTACGTTACTAACGCTAGCATCAGGGTGATGTACGAAACGAAACGAAGCGTCGAGTAATAAAAATAAAATAGCGTAGAGAAGAAAAAGTAAATACACTTTACGGTACGAACACATGGTACACCTACACGAGCATTAAGCTGATCTCGAGTGGTCGGAGGGTAAATTCAACGAAGCACGCACAGATTTCTCACAGGGAGGAAAGAGAAAACGAGAATGAACGGTTCCTTTGTGCGGTGTTCTCGTTAAAGAAAACGGTTCGCAACGGTCGCGTTCGGCCGTGAATCGATAGTCAATGCCGATTCAAATTCGTTCGTCTCATCTTTTATTGAAGGGGCTCGCGTAACGCTGGTTCGGCATCCAGGAAAGATCGACTTCGAGATTCGTCGCGGAGGAACGAACTCGGGCAATCGATGCTCGCACGTAGAACGCGCGGCTGGCGGACGGGTCGAGCATCGAAAGGGTGCTTCGGTTGGAAGTTTCCTTTGTGAAGCGAATCGAGGACCGGAGGAAAAGTCAAAGCACCAGCCATAGTGGATTTTAAACCGAGTGTTGGATCCGCCGCACTTCAATGGAGGGCGTTTAAACTTTTAATGATCGTCGCCGGCTGAAGCGCTCGCCGGAATAAGCCCCTCGAGTCACGGGGGAGGGCTGCCCCCTCCCCCTACTCGCGCGTTCTCCACCCTCGCTTATCCTCCACCCTTCCGGTTCCGAAAACGCTCGACCCCTACCTCACTGCCATTTCTCCCCATTCGAGCTTCTCCCTTCTTTTCCCGACCTTTCTTCGTTTATTAATTATTCTCGGTTCGTTTCGCGCGTACGACTGAGTCCAAGTATTCTGGCGCCACGTTTTATCTTCGATTTCTCGAGCCTTTCCCGTGGAATTAAACCACTTGTCATCGATTCCTCGGAATATATCGAATGCGATGTTACAGCATACATCATAGAATATATTGAATATATCAAAAAAGAAAATTCTGAAGCACTTTTTGAAAGATCCTTTATGTTTGCAGTGGTGTCATGCTTTAAGAAAGCTATAAGAATTTATAATCAATGTTTGAAAATACCAAAAAAGACACGTTTTCAAAGTCAGACTATTTAATGTAACGCGATTCCTGTTCACACATTTTGCAAGAGATGACGCAGAGTGCAAAGGGTTAACGAATCAGATTTATTCGAACTATCGCACCTTTAACCAAGTTTTCCCTATTCCTCCCCCGTGAAAGGCGAGGTCGACGTCGGCCCTCGTTCAATTCTTTCTAAAGTGGTATCTCCGACAACGTGTAACCTGCCGGCGGAGCATAAAGCGTCGGTCGAATGGTGAAAAAAATAGGCGCAGAGAAAACAAATTGCCGTAAACCGTGTCGCGTACGGGCGACGGTAATCGCATTACCGATTTACGGGACGATAAAACGCTTACCCGGGGGGCCAGGCCAAGTGCACGTTTTTCCGCGAGCAGAGCTGTCGGCTGTCGGCGACAGCTGGAAAATTTTGACCCGTGAAAATCGGCGTGCTCGGCTCTCTTAATTTGCCGGTGAAACGCGCGCCGTGCTTCTGGCGATCGCGATTTCGTGCTTCATAATTACTTGTCCGCGAATAAATACACCTGCACGGTTTTCCGGTCGGCGTTAAACGGGTTAATTGAACGCTGTTCGATGTATGAATCAACAAGAACGACAAACGCCGTTAATAAACTACTGAAATTTTCAATAGTCTAAATTAGGCTGTCCGTTTTGTGCCATCGCGCGCGCAGACGGATTTACACAAAATCGCGGCCGACGGACCGAAATAGAAATTTCAATTCACCGAATCGGGCCTGTGAAATTAGTCGATGCTGTTATCCGTGTATAGATTTCCGTTAGCTCCGGTATTTAAAAGATTTTTTATTATTCTTGCGCAGAAACGAGTTACCTGTGATATGTGACTGCATGGACGTGACTAATGGTTAATAACTATTAACCTCTTATGCACGATGCGCTACTATCGCGGTTTTCGCGGATGCCACCTTTCTGAGCAGGGCGTCTTTAAATAAATATCATATCTTTAAGAAAAACTATAACTCAATCATGGAGAACTTCATCCCAAAGTACTCGCGTAAAAAAACAGCATTCCGTCCTGCATTGCAGTGTCGTTTACGCATCATTCGCGTTGAACTCTGCTGTACAGAGAAACAGTCGTGCCTAAGAGGTTAACTAGTTAAGTTATTAAGTTATGAGATCGTCTTCTGAGAATGCACTTGCACGTTTGAGGATGTAAAGGGTGTGTTGTGTGCGTATGGTTTGGGTGCCAAGCGTGAGATGACAAGAGAAGTCAGTCTGAAGCGGAGAGACTCAATGTGTACATATCGAACGAGAGTATCAAGATTATTGCGTGTGATTTTAAGGTTTTTATACATGTATTGATTATTTAATAAGAGAGAGAGAGAGATACTTTTAAGCCTATTTAGACCTAAAATATCTAAACTTCAGAGAGTTGTTTTTGAAATTTTTAAAAGCTTCGTCTCTACACATCGTTTCACCGAGTGGACTGTTTTGTTCTAGGTACAGCACTCAGGCAAAAATGGTAGACACGGGAACGGGGACGCTCTACATTATTGGCTCTTTCAAGAGAATGACGATCGATCCCGATTTCAAGGTACGTTAATCTTACTCTCGCGAGTCTCGCATACCCTATGGGTTTTTCAAACGACGGTCATTGGGAAGTACCTCGACCGCGTAGTTTGCCGTTTCGATCGAACGCGTGGAAAGTATCGTCGCTATTACGCTTCGCGAAACGCTCTAATGAAATACAAACATTGCCTGTGCACTTTGTCGTGCGATTTAAAGCGGTCTTGTTTACAAATCTACTGAACGACATCGTTTGGTATTCGGTTTGTTATTCGTGCGGAAACGAATCGATTGCTGCATCCAACGGAAACGGTCGAGTTACTTCGAGACTGAGGTAAAATGGAAGTATGATGGATAATTGTCGAGTTGATAAACCACTGGTCGGTAACATCTTTTCACTAGTCGCTGATGTCTTTCGACAACAGTAAGACTTTCGTTTGCTTTGCAGACGTGAAGAATCACGTTATGATAACAAAAACGTAAATGGGTTTCGATCGGGGTTTCTACGCGGAAAAGAACGAATAAATTCATATTGCGCCGATCATCGTAGAAACGAGGAGCAAGTGGTCTTCGTTGAGAAAACTTTGCGTGGAATTTATACCAGATCTTATAAAGTTCCCGAAGGCACAGAAACCGTATTCCATTTATGCGAAATCGCGAGCACCCATTGTATAAAAATAGAAATAAAGGGGACACCGAGAACGAACTATGGCAATTGACGTCACGTTAGAGCTTTAAAAACTATTCGAACCGTGGAAATAAACCGATTCCCATCCCCAACGCCAATAATCTTTGCATGTGGAAAGTGAGTGTAATCGATAGCCACGCGTGCCTGTACAAACGAGCACTGGTCGCACCTTCTCGTAACGGTTCGAGTTTATCTACTTTTCTTCGGGACGCCGAAATTTTTCACGTTTACCGCCTCGACGATCGCCTCTCAGGAAACTGTCGCGTTACGAGACGATACTTTCCGCGACGAGGCGGAGAAACCCGGGGATTTTCGAACGACCCAAATTCTAAAGTGGCTTCTATTGTGCGACGGCGACGTAACGTATAGGTGACGGGGAAATTTACGACGCTAAAACGCGAACGTTAGCAGCACGTACACGCTCGCGGCTGCATGCGCACGTAAACCCGGAGCGATGATGCTTTTCCCGGACGGCGAGCATCAAAGGGCCGAACTCGAGTAGAAACCGGCGTTGGACGAAATATAATTCAATTCACGACTCACGATTGAGATCTTTAGTAATAAAGTCTCTGATAATAATTCGATAATAATTCAAGAAAACAAATTGGGGGTCTTATGTTCAACGGTTGCGAAGATAAGAATTTTTGCTTGGTTCATTTTTATAACCGTATTCAGACCATGCAAGTCTATCTCACTTACTTCTAAAATATTTACTTTAACTCATATGCTACATATAATATGACCTTGGTATTCTTTTTTCTATTTTGCATGTTGTATTCCTATGGCTCTATTTTCTCTTATCGTAAGGCCGAATGGGCCTGTGAGAAGCTCGGGTACCTCGGGTTCGCCAACACCCGTACCGTAGCTGCGATCAAACACAGCTGCAGCCCCTGAGGATAAGAATTTTTTTCTTAACGCCAGCTTCCCAACCGGTGAATTGAAGTTTATTCGAACAATATTTGTATCGAAACGAATCGGACACGTTAGACTACGTTAGTGATAGCAACAACACGCCTTGATTACGCCCGGAGGTAGAATCCGAAATGCAGAGCGAAATAAAATCACGGTATGTACGAATGGAAGTAAATCTACGTTTCCGGTCGAAAGTCGGGCTGAGGTAACGCGCTGTTATTAATCAAAAGTTTGTCGCGAACTGGAAATGCATCGCGTTCGCGTTGGCGTGTGTTGCTCGAGGCAAATGTTTGGAGAAATCCGCGCATATGCGAGCCTCGTAATTTTGAACGACGTGCGTTTGTTTCTGTCTGCAGTTGTACCTGACGTCGAACGTTTCGTCGAGCGACTTCAATATGGGTTACAGTATGACGGGTACGCTGGAGCGTGGCTGCAAGAAGACCAACTCCTTCCAGATGACACACTTCGCGGTGATCCGTCGACGGGACTACGAGAAGGCCTACGAGGATCCGAACACCACCTAGTGTCCGTCTCCACCCACGCTCTCCGAGTGTGGGGACTGCGAACACTATACGTAAGATCGGAAAGGGCGCGGTTTCTACGATCCTTTCCTCCGAGATGGGCCGCAATTTCTCGACGAATCTCTTTCACGTCCGAAGAACGACGCTCGCGAGCACCGCGTCGCCGGAATCCGCGTCTCCCGACGCTTCTCTCCTCCTCGGACATTCCGGCCTGAACGCTTTCGCGGAAGAACGCGGAGAACCGATATACAGTCGACAGCGTCGCGCGTCAAAAATTTAATAGAGCACACGAGCAGCCAAAGTAAGCGAACAAAAAAGCAAAATGCCAAACGTCCAAAGGTAGTGTTTAACTTAGCTCGAATTAAGTAGGTTTTAACTAGCGACGAACGATACCTAAGTCGAGTATACAAAGCAACGGTGATCGAGAAAAACCAAAGCATTTTCCAAAGTATTAGTACGTAAGGTCGTAAATCTCGCAGGCGATATGTATGCAACGGCATCCTGTGGTTTCCTATGCGTCCTCCTCCTATGGTGTGCGCTGCTTCTGGTCTACCGTTCGCGCGGAAGCCGCCCCGCTTCGGGTCATTCCACAAATCGGACACCTTCAGGAGTAATGTCTCTAGCTGTGGTCGAACTTGGACGCGTTAAAGTCTTCGGTGATATTTAAGCGTATCTCGAAGGATTTTTTGAAATACTAAAATCCTTCGAGATACGTTTAAACGTAACGAAAGACTGGAGTATAGTCGGTCCCATAGTATTCGTGCCATGTATTGAAGAAAGGATCTAGCATAACGATCTAGCATAACGGATCTAGGAATAACCGATCATCATTCTTGATTTTTTTGGTAGGTCTCCCTTAGGTCAAAAGCATTGTACGGCACATAATAGCAATGAAAATTGGAGTGGGGGCCGATTGCCTATCCTTATTCTGCTAGACCCTTTGTCTAATTTAAACGATATGCTTCGTGTTTCCAAATCAATTTTTCATTATAAATATGTACATGAATAATCTTTGCACGTGTACATATTTACAATTACAAATTTATTTGGAAACATGAATTTTTCAATAAGTACAAAGGGTGCGAATACTTATGGAATCGACTGTATATTCAAAGAAGGATGTTGAAAAATGGTATTTTGGGGTAGTTTTGACTTAATGTTCGATAAGGTCCTTCGTTAGATCGCGAGAAACTATAAATGAATAATTATCTGTCGTTAACACGATGGGGGAAGTTCTTAAACAGATAGATGGAGCAGAAAGTGTACATAGTGAAAAATTGGAAATTGTTCATTTGAAATGATCGAGCTATCGAAACAAGTTCACGAAACGCAAACACTGAGACACTATTTTACAGATAAAAGACTATATTTATATTACATGAACGAGTATTAACGCTTATGAAAAAATATGATTGCAATTGCATTATTACTTAGAAGTAATTTCATAGAATATGTGCACTTTCTACTTCATCTTTTTTATTATATTTCCCATCGTATTGCCGATATATAAATGGGTCATTCGCTGCACAAATCGATTAACTCCATAAAACGAAAAGTTGAGAAATGCGATGAAATAATGTACATTGTCTTTTAAAATTCTCTTTATAATATAAATTCAAATAAACATCGTAGAATACATAAATACAGATGCAGCTTTCATCTAACGGTATATAAAATGAATAAGAAAAAATAGCCAGAAAATAATCGTCAGCAATGTTACAATTTTTATATGTTATTTTTATGGTGGAGTTAATCGATTTGTTCAGTGAACGACTCAATTGCGAGTTACCCCAAGATTGACCAATTTTTAGCATCCATCTTTCAGCAAAATCGGTGTCCAATTTGACGCGTAACGACCCCTCTGCTTTGCCCCGCATGATCGATCGTGCTGGTAGAATCTGGATGTCGGGATCTTTGCGATCCCGAGGACCGCAAATCCGCTCGTTGAGACAGCTGGACCACGCTGTAGCTTGCAGCGAGTCCGGTTTACGCGGGGCGTTTCGAGCTTTGTCACGCTTTCCGTTCTTTGAGCTTTCCACCGCGTCGCTCGAAGGAAGCCGAGGATAGAAGCCCGCCGGCGGTAGTCGCGAGTCAAAAGCAGAGCCCCTCTTCTCCTGGGATCATCGTGAAACGGCGCATGGTTGACGCGATACTTATTTTTGTTAACTTGAAGTAGAAACTTGGCCGTGTCACGATGCGTCCCGATCAAAGTAATCTCGATCACTCGTCGGCCGACCCGACCGTGCGAGCGATCGATACCCAGCTCCGTATTATGCGACGAGCTCTTCGTAATCGCCATCCAGAGGATTTTTGTACTTCCGGCTTTGCTCAAGGGTGTATTCCACGTTGAATATGAACGGTGTAGGTGTAAGGTGTGATCGAACGATCGCAAGTTGGTATTCGGCGATTGGCAGAACGCGAGTGTCACGAAGCTACTCTCCCATCCAAACGACCCGATCGAATTTTTAGACTGCAGACTGATCCGGGTCCTTGATTGTTTTTAACCCTTTGCACTCGAGGACATTTTTCTGTTATCTACCAGCAACTCAAGATACTTCCTTAGCATTCCATTGCCACAAATCCTAAGCTTTGATTGACTTTGAAAATGAGATTTCTAATTTGAGATTTGAGAATCAGGTCATCTTCTCCTCACCGACAATCGTTTTATCGAAACTTCGAGTTCCAAAGAAATTAAACTTAAACAAACATTATCGCTGGTTTATTTGCTACGTCAAACCTATTGGTGACCCAGAGTCATCTCTCGAGTGCAAAGAATTAATAGAATCGCTCTGACAGGTGTTGTGCAATTTTGATTCCTTTCCAACTGGAGGTGGCGACTTCGGTCACTTTCCTTTACCTATTTCTTCCACCAAGACTCGATTCTGCGATTTTGTTTGTAATCGCTTTGAAATTACGTCGTTCGGGTGGCGGGAACGGCCTAAACGTTGCGTTTAATCGTACCTCGACGTCCACGCGCGTTCCTGTGATCGCTTCAGGGCAACGGCATCCCCTATGTAGTTGAAACGAATAAACGCTTCTCTCTCTCCCTCGCTCAACGTCTGCTTTCCGCCATTCTCTGCTGTCTCCGCCTGGCTATGTATGCGTCCATCCATCCATTCATCCCCCTCAGCACAGTCCGTTCGCCCGTCTATTTATCGAACAAAGTTCTCGCCGCGGTTGTTGATCGCGACGCTGCCGCGATCGTCGCGTCGGCAGCGGACCCCGCGCCAGGTGAAAAGGAGTCCGATCGATTCCGATCGGATTCTACGTGCCATTTAGTCGAGTGCTATTACGTGTTACAGGGTTTAATGGTTTTTCGCGATTCGACGGGGGGATAGGACGAGCGGGCTGTTTTTCGTTTAATCGTTTTTTCGTCTTCCGTTTGCGCGCCACGTCGTGCGTCGAATTCCGATTGTGAAAACGCCCCCGCGTTTTTCGCCGGGAAACTTTATAATTTCCTAGAACGAAACTAGCCGCGCTCGTTCCCGCCCGGGTCGCGAATACCGTGTAGAGTGTCGCTATATGGATACAGCGTACAAATGTTCGTCTCAAAGCTGATAGGTAAAGTTTCGTGGAAACTCAGTCGATGTCGTAGATCGTTAGTTTAGCCGTAGGGATAAAACGCTTCGTCTGGCAGACTCTAGTCGATAGATTTAGATCGCTCGTAGACCCGATCGTAGGTTTTTCCACTTTTCGGGGGACCCGAGCATTTTCGTGCACTAGCAACTGCACTCGAGAAAAAATTATCTTAGCCTCCTGCGCTATACAGAAATCCCGTTCTCTTCTTAACACTTTATTTACCGAGAGCCTATTTATAGGCTTATTAATTCCAGTGTTTAACATCTGGAATTTATTCACCGTGGATGTCCATTTACAATGTTCAGTTTTTGAAAACAGACTTGGCTTTCGATGTACCTAGTATCAGTTTGGAGGAATTATTGTCAGCCTAGATTGACATGTGTTAATGTACAAAAATTATTTCTTAAATTGCAGACTGTTTCGAAATAAGTAGATAAAGTGTTATAGACTCGTAGAAAACTCATATAGGCTAGAACCTTTTAAATCTATAACTGTTGTATTATAATTTCGATTTTTACAACTGTTTCGAAAACTGTGATCTATATCATACCCGTTTTCAACCTTTGGGAGACGATAGATTCAAGTCGTCAACCACCTCGCGATCCTCCCTTGTAAAAATTTCCGTAAACGTTTCGCGGTCCCCGGGTCCCCTCGAAAAAACTGCTTCTACTGAAATCTCACGTTGTTCATCGAGATCGTAAATCTTTTGTGTTGCGTTTTTATGCGAGTAGTTGGTACCGTGTTGGCGGCCACCGTCAGGCGTGTTAAGTAGCCCGCGTAGCGCTTCCTCGAGGCACTCGTCGCGCAGCCTTCGAGAGACAGATATATTCAGCGTTTAAGCTCTTTCCTGCTTTTAAAAATGTAGAACTTCCTCGAGCCGCTTATCTCGAGTACGCTCCTTAGCGCGATAAAGTGTCGTCCAACGCGAAAAGCACTCTAGTCTTCTCGATAGACACTCGTCCTTGCTTGTCGACACGGTTTCTGTGTGTTCGCTTCGTTTCGAGTAGCCGGTTCTAGAATCGGTAGATAGTCGTTTAAATGAACGTACGTCCGAAATCACGGTCCCTCCTAACTACTTAGCCGTAGCTTCGACCCGCGGATGCACGCTTTCCTCGAAACCAAAGAGAAGCGACGCCGATCGTCGTCAGCTGCACAACGGGTCTCTAGTCTGTCTTAAACCTTCCCGACTTCCGAAGTTCCGTCCCCGATCGTTCCACTCGTCTCTGTCGGCAACAGAGACGGCGAATCACGTAGTTCTAATCTCGATTAGACGAACCGCTTATCGTTCCGATCGCGGATTGGGCTTGACGCGTGTCCGGCATGGCCGGAATCGATGAAAACAATTCGACCGGAAGCGCGGCCCAGCGCCGAGATAAGAGGATCAAAATTTTATTCGGACGACTGGAACGGAAAATAGGAAGTGACTGGAAATCTATCCTCCGACTGTAGAGAGATTATAATCGTAGAACGTATCGTAGTGGTCGTAGGAAAGTCGATGTCGTCGTTATCGTTATCGTTACCGTTATCGTCGTCGTCGTCGTCGTCGTCGTCGTCGTCGTCGTCATTTTCGTCATCACCCGTCCGATCGAATTCCGTTCGGCGACGAAGATCGTTTGTTCCTGTCCGCGCGTCGACCACCGCGAATCGCTCTTCCCTCGAGACGAACCGGTCGCGTCTTTGCTCCCTTTGCGATCGATAAATTGTATTTTTTCTAGGCGACGCAGATCGCCGATTCGCGAGCCCGCGGTAATGCAAATCGTGGTCGACGCGCGCAACGGAACGAAAACAATTTCTCGCAGTCGTCGCGACGGAACTACCTCGGATACTCCGTTTAGGATACGATAGTCGAGTTTCGCCAAGTAGTGTGTTCTCGTTACCAAGTAGACGTCCGATAGCGCTCGAGAGAAAAGTAGAGGTAACAGTCTTTGACCGCGAGAGACTATCGAATCGACTATTCGTTCCGTCGCTCCGTCTCTCGATTCGAGAAATCGAAAACAGAGGCGGCTGTCCGGTCAACAGAAAATCGAAGATCAGGATGTAACGTAAAGCGCTGCACAATCAAACGGAGGGGTGTTCTGGATGGAAAGCAGTCCTTGATTGGTTCATTTGGTGCGCGTGAACGCTGTATTTTTACTTGAAAGAGTCAGATAATTAAGAAAAATATAAAAATATTTAATACAAAAATCAACCATATTCCACAACGTGATTAATCCACTGCCACCGTTTGGAATAAATTTAAATGAGCAAATGGAGACAATATGAATGGTAAGTAATACGAAAACAAACCTTTTAACTAAACAGAGGAACGTGATTCAATGTTCTCACGAGTTTGGATATTGTTTTCGTTGCCTTCTGTTTGCTTTATCATTGAACCCATTAACGCTCTCTTGCTAGCTTTGTGAATCACGTCAAAGAGAAAACAACGCGTCCACTTCATAATAAACATGTTTCTTTCTATCCAGAATTCTCACTCGTTCTACTGTTCGTCGCGACAGTGTGTGGACTCCTGCAGGCAAAATCTGTTGACTCTACTCGCTACTCGTCTCGAGCAGGAATTACGAATACGATATAGAATCACGTAGACCGCTTGTCGCTTAGTTCGATTTCCATCCAAGATTCACGTTCGCTCCGAAGAGTTTAAAAGCTCGGTCTCGTTCAATGTCTCGTACGACTATCGCATTCGAATCTCGTTGTAATCGATGTGTAGCTGGTAGAAAACCAAATATAACGATAACCGGTAGAAAGGTCCGCACCTTATCTTTACTATTACCGCCAAACGGATTATTAACTGTAATTGTATCGGTCTTAAAAAAAAAAAGGAAAAAAAATACGAACGACGCATTCGTATTCAAAGCTATGGCTGTGATGATCCTAATTAATCGTGGAACGGTTCGTAAAAAATTATATACATATACATGGCACATGCATATGTATATAAAAATATATATATATACATATTATATTATATATACATACGAGATATACATACAATAAGTAGATTACGACGCCATGTAGCGCCAAGCAACGCGATATTTTGCCAAAATCGTTGCGTTTCCCGCGGATTTACGTTTCGTTTTACACGTCAATGATTCGTTCACAGGCTGATCTCCGCTCGAAGGAACGCGTCGCGTTCTCTTGTTCGGTGCCAAGTGTCGCTTCGTTTTCGGTCAAAGTCCTGGTCGTTTCGCCGAACTGAGAGTTTTGCGAGCATCAACGAGCGCGAAGAATCAAAATAACGCCACCGGGGTTCACTCGCCCGGGGCTCTTACGAAAATCAAAGATCGCTTTAGGTCTAGTCGCTCAATCGATGATAATTAGAGACGTCGCGAAAGGAAGTGGAAGCTCGCCGTGCGAGCGACACGTTGCTCAGAAAACTCGTGACTTTGTATTTTCTATAAGCCCCGTTCACGCGGCCATCCGATTACGTTCGATTATGTCCCGTCACCGATGAACCGTGAGAGCTCGCTCGTTCCTTCTTCCTTCTAACCTTTTTCCGAACGGTTTTGAGAAGAAGAAACAAAGAAAAAAATAAAAAGGACAAACGTCGACGGCGGAACGATCTCGCGCAACCGCTCTGTCCTCCACCGAGATCGAGTATCGTTCGCGAAAGAAATAGTAGCGCCGATCGGAGTTGCCGGGAGCAAGCGGAACAAATCGAGTACGAATGAATACTGGTGCGACAAATGTGTATTTTCGCTACAGTCCTGTCTACAGTCAATTCATTTTGTATCTATACCTAATCTATGTATCTATCGTCATAATTTATGCCGAAATAAATGTTACATTTACGCACAGCGAAACGATCGTTTCATTTTTCTGCCGATCCTCTCTCCTCGTTGTCCTTTCTCTCGCGCCTCTGTCTCGTTTCTTCACAGAACATTAAAGCGTTTTATCCGGAGAGTACACGAAATTAATAAAAAAAAAAAAAAAATATTCGTCGAACCGACGCTAACGATCGGTGAATGGTCTACGGACAGTGACGGACGGCAAATTGTACTTGAGATCGCGTTGCCTCGTAAATCAAGGATTCAGAGGGCGCCGTCGCGATCGTAAATTCGAGTCGAGTTTAAGCTGGAATTTACGTAGCTGCCGCGAATTACTCGTGGCACCGGAAACCTAGCGAGTTTCGAGCTTTCGAAGAACGAAAGGCAGAAGTCGCGCCAAGTGATCCCTGAGACTTAGGTGTCGAGGCTCGTTTATTTATTTAGCCATTAAAGCACATAAAGCCAGGGATGAATGCTCTAGATAAGTTTAGAGCACTGTTACATTATTGTATTGTATCCTATTGTATTTATTTCAATGTTCACATGCAGTCTCATTGTAAAATTATAAAATTACACGATATACTTAACCTATCCTTAGCCTAATCAGCGAGAAACGAGAAAGAGAGAGAGAGAGAGGGTCCAGAGCGCTGTTATATTATAGAATCTCATTCCAGTGGTGATACATTTGTTAGGACCATCACAGATAGAAATCACAGAGCCAAATAAAACTCGAGAAGAGATTCCGAGCAGAAGAAGATCGAACGCCGATTCAGTGCGGAACAAATCGATATTTATGGTTCATAATGGACACGAAACGACCAGGTATGTATAAAAAAATCTACGTTATACTCTTTTATGCAGCGTCACACGAGGTGAGGAAGATTAGGCGCTTCGACAGAGGGATGCAAAGCGTCGCACGCGACGGGACGCGAATAAAAGCCTTCTCGGACGACTGCGATTTAATTACCGGACGTCGCGTAATTATCGGCCGTTGGAGCGAGTATCTAATTAACGCGGACGCCGATGGCATTTAAGCGGGCTGCCCGAGTGCGAACGAACGCTATCCCTGGCGCCTCCGAAATTTCGCCACTTTGTATGCATCGGGTCGGCCCCGGCCTCTATTCTAGCTCGAAATAACTTCGTTTCAATAGCGGCTAATTTAATTGTCTCGAGATAATATCATAGACTGCGCGGTGAATTTCAAACGGGTCTGGCATCGGCATCCCGCATCATCCCCTCGCTTATCGTTGCACCGATAAGGGGCGAGATTCGTAGCCCGTGGCGCAAGACGCGTCATTTCGCTACTTCCTCTCTCGTTGCACTTTTCGAGAATTGCATTTTCAATCGTAATCGCAGAAGCAGAGGCTTCGAGAGTCAACGCGGTATTAAAAATACAGGCGTTTATTCGATTCTCTCTGAATGTACCGACC